GAAAAATTGCCTTTTTTTAGATCTGCCACTGAACCGTACTCAAAAATGAAATCACGAGTCCGACCTTAGATACCGATCTTGTTCTACGCCACTAGATAGCGCTAAAATTTAATCGAAATGGCAAATTTTCAAATTTCTGTTTCACGAACTCCAGTCCAAAAGACTTTACATAGGTGTGTACATGACCCAATCAAATAAATCATTAATAACATAAGACTGTCAACATCGAGTGATCTGAAAATTTCACGACGAAGACCTTCGCACTATTAGCAGGAATATATTTTTCCTGGATGTGTTTTTCTTCCTTGCTGTCCTGCGGCCCGGTCGTATGGCAACTTGTTATTTTGTTATTCATAATTAAATTATCCGAGTTGGTACCTGCGATGTAATTCCTTCCTGTCATGTTATTATCCTTGTATGTCGTGTCTCATTCTCATACACCCATAAGCCTGCAACAAAAAAGGGTCTGTACGAGGGAAATATCGAACGTTCCTCGACCTTGTTAATCAACAGGTTGTTCGTTCATATTTATCGGTATTTCTTTAGTATTCTAGGGCGCATTTGACGCGGGAGCTATGAAGTCCAAGTGTTTTCTGTAGATTACACAGGCCCAAAGAAGTGGTGTGTGCCTGTGGTCCTACTATGCTTTGCTCGTGTACTTTTTCATGCTGAACACAAATCTGTAGTCAAACTTAGGGCTCAGATGACAAACGATAAAGTAATTCTTGTGTTAAGATCACATATTTTGGCATTTTTGTTGGATCTGCATGACTTCGGGGGTCTCTGAGAGATGCACATCCAACAGAAACACTAAAATTCTCAATTCTGATGCCTAAGTTACTTTCATATTTGTCCATTGTTCCCCACTTCAGATTCGTGTTCAGAGAGAAAACTCACAGGGCAAAAGTATATAGTCTATCTATAGTATATCCCAATTTTGACAACAGATTTTGTGTTCAACTTGAAAAAATAGATGGGAAAAATATAGTGAAATCCTAGACACATACCACTTTTTATTTTGTGGGCCTGGGAATATACGAAATTCTTCATACGACTATACGTCTTTTTGTATCATTCTGTATAATATATTTTCAATAGTTGTCGCTATCATTATATTTTGCATTCCAAGGTTTATAGTATTACCAAGTTTCATCGAACTTTATTTTTACGTTGATATAATAAGCAATCTGAAAACGATCCATATTCAATATATTTTTATTAATTCAATACCGGTTGACGTTGCCACAATATCAAAATATCTATCTATAGTGAAAAATGGCATGAAGTAGGTTGACTCTGTACATCTCACAAAACGCTGACATCAGCTTATAAAGGATTTCGTTCGACACATAAAAAAAGTTGGCTACGACCGTGTATAATAAAAAAATTAAATGCATCAAGTTAGTCGAACAGGCTCACTTAAAATTTGCATACTTATCATGATAATCTGGACAACTTTGGGACTCTTTAGGATTTGGTTTCCTGAGAAAATAAGATACATCTCGATCTTTCAAAAAGTCTTGGAGGCAGGTATTCTTTCAAACAAATTTATCTGCTCTTGCCGATGGATACCCCCATTCTCCTGAGAAAAATTACTGCGGACGCACATTATCAGAACTATGTGTACATCTGACGTGGCTGCCGATCTTTGGTCCACATTCAGTAGAGCAGCGTAGGCCGACTGCTATGCAGATGTTTCGGCAGGACCGCGAAATGCATGACCGACACGCGAGGGTTGGAAATATTTCTCCCCTATCCAATTTTTAAGGATAAATATATGCGAAAATCTATGATGAGTGAAATATGTCTAATAGGTGCGAACCGCAGCAGGAGGCCTATAAGTATACCAACGTCAAAAACTTACCTACCATAGATCAGCCATTAAAAATTTGTTCAAATGTGGCCAGGATCCTCTGAAGAGACCAAAAATAAAGCTTGAGCGGTTGAACGTTTTTACCTCTTTTTGCCCCTAGCTGCGCCGCCACTGGATAGATTGTAAAAACCTAGAAAGATTTTTTTTCCTCAGCATCTTGTGTGGAAATTACGTCAAAATCCTAGTTATATCAGAGTCAAGGATTAGCGACGGAAATTAGTCTCATACTTTTTCGTGATGTACATGGCATATACCATATAACATAAACATAAAAAATACATAATAGCCCATTAAATTTTTTGCGATTGCAGTACCTTCTCGCCAGTGGTGTAGGAAGTAAAAGGTACACAATCTCTGTATAAAATGTTTTCTATGAAATCTTTTGAAAAATAAGGGCAACTTCCGTACTTTTTTCTTATTCTCATATAGCCGTTTCATAATTTAATTTTGACAAAAAATGGTACGTGGTATAATTTTATCGGAGTTCATTTTATGAAATGTAAGACATCTGCCCCCATAACTTTTTTCCAGATACGTCAGTGATATTATTTGCTCTATTATCCCTTCATCGCTGACCTGTCTGCGCTCTCACCATTTTTATAAACTTCTCAAATTGTTCCAGTATGAAGGAACTGAAATTCATGAACACAGAAAGTAATTGTCGATAGTAGTTGGAGAATATAGTATGGCAGAAAATCGTTCCTTAAAAAGAATATTTTTTTTTCCAAAAGCCTATCTTATCCGAACATATTATTTCATAACGTCTTGCAATTGTGATGCGTTGTTATATTGTTGAGTATTAATGGTACATAGATTGATCGCAGTTTGACCTACATGATGGCCCAATGGTCCATTTGTATCTCAAATTTGACCCCATGGCATTTCACAATTTTTTGGTCACAAAGCCACTATTAAGCCCCTGAATCCGGTGTCAGTTCAACCCTTTGGCTCGCTAAAGGTGCCAAGTGGTCAATGAAGTGAATTCACAAACCTTACTTTCAAATAACACCTGAAGTCAAGGTCATATCTGAATTAATCGCTCTCTCTATCTTTCTCTCTCTCTCTATCTCCCTCTCTCTGTCTCACTGCTTTTTTTATTTCCTGAAGCTTTTGCTTTCATAGCAAATGCGTTGTCCAGTTTCTCGAGCGTTCGTTTACTTTTTAGGCTTCACAATTTGACCAGCTAACATGATTGTGGATTTGTATGCAAAGTTTTCAGCTGATTACGAATCAGTCATCAAAAAAATAGTAGATATTTGAACTTACGAGATTGACCTCCAAATTACCTTTGAGATCATCATGCTAGAGGTCACCGATACATTTCTTTTTTGATCTCCTGAAACTTCTGTAGGAACCTCGTTTCGAACAAATCGAGGTGCCAAACCTCCAGAGGATTCACATGTCTTTGTTTGAGACATGCTTACATTGAATTGATTTGATTTGATCTGAAACTATTGTAGAAACCTTTTCCAGGAAAAATGCAAAGTATTTGTATGTTCGGATCTTTAACAGAGGTACAAGCGTATACCCGTATTAAATCAAAATATGATCTCATTATAAGAGGATTCCAACAAGGTCCTGTTCAATTTCTGGGTATATCATGTTCCCTAAAATAATTATTCCATGATCAGCTTGTGCATTTACAGTAATATTGCAAGCAACGTGGCTCTATTCTTAGCATTTAATAAAAAATATTTTTAGATAAAGGACGCTAAAGATATTGAGTCAGTTATTAGTAATCGTCAAAGCCGATGTGAATAATATATATAGTTTTCTCTGTGAAAAGCCGCTACTCATGGTTGCACACACCTTTCCACGTTTGAATGAACAATGACAGCAGTTGAAAATTAAATTTCAATATGTGAAGTTGTGCCGCTGTGAAGGTGATAATAGAAAAATGTTCGCTCGCCCCTATACATCCAGCCAAACAAAAGAACACGTATGATTGTTTAATCGATATGGGGAATAGCCTCAGGTTGGTATGGAGCATGTATAGGGTGGATGCTTATTGTATAGTTATGTTGTATTCGTGCAAAATTTTCGAACTGCGGTTTGCAAGTTTCTTTGAATGTTTTATAATGAGTCATAAAATTTTTGGTACTTTTTTTCGACTGTCAGTCTTTAAACTGCATCAATTCTGATTTTGGAGAGAGGGAGAAAGAGAGAGAGAGTTTTCAAGCTATTTTTTTGTTGTTGTTTTGCGGCTTCTGAGAACATGGCACACATTTTGAACTTTTCAAAACATCACACCCACTTGTTTGCCTTCTTGTTGCCTGTTTCCATAACTAGACCTAGACCGTACTGAGGAGTTGCTAAAGAGCACGAAACAGCGCTGTCTACGGTTGGTCATGGTTACAAGAACAGAATGCGAATTCATTCACTTCAGCCGCCGTAGACAGTTCTGTGTCTACTGAGACCTAGAGCATGTTACTATTTTTGAGTGTCGCAAATAGTTTGCGCACGAAATGAATATAAGATTTTACCTAAAACCGTAGACCATACCTCATATATTTTTTAACCGATAAGAATCCTTGCGTACGCATTATTTTATCATACAATGATGACATCTGGTGTCATATGAGTGACCACAACCTGTAGCAAGCGTATCTGCTAGGTTGTTGCTCTAGAGCGATAACGCTGTCATTTGCGTCACTGGTGAACATTATGCTTGTGCGCCCGAACGCGAGCGCCTACTTTGTCAGTCGGTTGTATAAAGCATTTATTGTCTTAGGGGCTTCGTACACAAGGCTACGCAAATCTTCGATACTCAACGATTTTAGTTTCCAAGCGATTACCGCCATACAAATCCATTAAGGTTCGTACACGAGTCGCGTCGCCGACATTCGTCTCGCGACTCGCATCGTGCCAGTCGTGTGCTACCTGCCGGACAAGATCTTCGCTACATAAGTCGCAGCGATTTCCAGGATGGTGGAGCAGTTATTAAATATTAAATTTGTTTCGGAGGTGGAGAAGTATCCCTGTTTATACAACTATAAAATAAAAGAATATTCTAGAAAGGATATTACAGAAAAAGCGTGGGTATCAGTAGGAAGGGCCGTTAATTTAACAGGTTGGTAGATTTTTATAGTATTAAACATAGTAATTTAGTAAAGAAAAAACACATTTGGCAGTATGTTTTTTATTAAGATTTTTTTACGCATATACACGATATTTTGTGTACATTTTATTAGGATAGCCGATGTTGTAACCCGCCGGATTACCCATGTTATTGTGATCTAGGATCATGATTAGCTACTAACTAGTAATGTACCAGATATCCGTATCCACTAAACCATAAACAGAACACAGGGAATATCTGATGTTAAATTAATAGTTAAAATTAGAAAATAGAACTTGCTACAGTACTTAATGGTGTGTGGTCCAGTAAAATATTTATTTGCATTTACAGAATTTTGTTATTTAAACAGACTAACAAAATTTATACAATACAATTATATTGCCATGGGAGTGCTACCTGAGGTTTAAGAAAGTAGTTAGCTAAATAGTTTCTTAACGTATTTGGAGAAGATTGCGCATTCAATTAAATTTGCTGAGGTTGTATTATACCATGTGTACTATTGGAATTTTCTTCATACGCACGATATGGAAGCCCTTCTCTTTTCCTAACCTAGTTGTGTAAAATACATACTGATTTTACAATATTATTAATCTTTATATTGTCGTGGCATCTTATCGCAGTGCTTAGAACCTGAAATTTTTCCGTCATCATCCCAAAAGCGCATTCTACAGTCTTCCTTCCTCTACTCAATCTATAGTTAAATATTCTTTTCGTATTATCAAGTACTCTTTGTGGATATGGCCGTAGCAAATAATGCAATAGCGGAAACGCTTCATCTCCGACAAAGTAAAATGGAAACTTGTAGTTGTTGTCATCATTGGGTAATCGTAAAGGAGTAGGAAGATCAAGATTGTCCCCTTCAATGAAATGTTTGATTGCTGAAGCACGAAATATACCACCATCACTGTTCCTGCCAGCAAATCCTGTTTCGATGAATGTAAAGAGGCCATCAGCGTCACTGCATGCCATGAGAACAATTGAATGATACGACTTGTAGTTGAAGTTAAGCGATCCTGAGTTTGGTAGCTTTTCTATTCTTATGTGCTTTCCATCTAGAGCACCCAAACAATTAGGCAAATTCCATAGTAAATGAAAACGTTGTGCTATTATTTTCCATTGATTTTTATCCGGTGTTGGCATATAAATATCTTTCAAGGCATCCCATATGATTGCTGTTATTTCTCCAATTATTCTTGATACTGTAGAGTCTCCTCGAGCAAAATATAAGGAAATCGATGTGAATGTTGCGCCAGTTGCCAAATACCTAAAAAAAGTTGTATTAATACTTATTTATTTAACATCTTGTACATAGTATTACAACGGTGAACTTAATGTTAACAGTTGCTTGACATATTTTTATTACTTTCAGGACTGCAAGCGAAAGACAAATGGAAAAACCTCCGTTCTGTATTCGTACGAAACTTAAAACCTGCTGCTAGTGGATCATCAACAAAAAAGAAATACTATTTGACAGATTCAATGCAGTTTGCTCTTCCTTATATAAAATCTGCTGCAATTCCATCTGGCAGTTTGCCTAATCCGATTAATCAAGACAATGAATCACAAGCATCTACACCGACCGCATCACCACCGCCCTCGGCATCACCACCGCCCTCCGTATCACCATCGCCCTCGGCTTCACCACCGCCCCCGACATCACCTACTGCATCCTCCAGTCAACAAACTGAACGTACTCCAACCCCGTTATCTGTCTCAACTTGGCGTAGTTCCTCTCAGCGTCATAAGAATAGAACGAATGAGAATGATGAACTCTTCAATGAATATTTGAAAACGAAAATGAGCAAGCCAAATGTCAATGACGAGTCGACAAAGAATAACGCCAACAAGATGTTTTTGTTAAGTTTGCTGCCAGACTTAAATTCTATGACATCCACACAAATAAGATCATTCAAACGTCAAGTTATAGATGTGATAGATAACATACTGAATGTACCTACCACTTCATCTAAGCAAACGCCGGCGCCGGCCTTAGTTCATATACCAAATACTTCAAGTATATTATCTTCACAGACATCTCCGTTTGTAGGACCCGAAATACAACACCCAAGTAAATCGTCCTCGCAGGTAACAACTGACATAGAATTACCAATAGAAACCAATAATGATACTATATAGTATAATCGAATATACAACCGACGATGGAGTAAATGCAGCTACATATATTCAACTACTCCAAAATACTGTAGGTGAAGTAAATTATACTCAGAATTGATGACGCAGTTAAGATTTCGTGCAGACTTCTGAGGGGTTCCGTTCCGTTATATATTATTAAAATTCAATCTTACTTTGAAATGTTAATATTTAATAAAACAAATTGAAATCATACCCGATTGTTATTAGAATCCTTTCCTCTGCGCTCACACACTCTCTCATGTGTGTATCTCTCTGGTGTATATGTGGAACAAGTAACTCCACTAAATGTGTATAACTCTCTTTGGACATCCTGTACAATGATAAGAATTTCGCATCTGTTTGTTGTAATTCTTATGCAGCTACAAACAGTCTGCACTTTATGTTTCTCTATATATACGGATGAACACAGTATCTTCTGTTACGACGATTTCTTTGTTTCCGATAAAAATAGTACAAAATTATAGTTTCATCATCACTTGTTTCAGACATTTTCGTAAAAGTGTGATCTGTTTAGCCTATAGTGGCTGAATAGGCAATTCGCGTCTTGCGATTCAATGTCGTGTGTACGGACCGTGCGCTACTCGATACTCGCGACTGGATACTAATGTAATATACAACATTAGTATCGGAGACTTGCGTAGCCTTGTGTACGAAGCCCCTTACACCTAGAACATTGTACAATGTTACGAGTATAACTAAGAGTGTTTGCCCCTTAGGCTTGTGTATCACCTTGTATATCTTGCGGTGTATAGTCTCCTTCTTGATTAAAATTGTTTGCATGACGACTCATATGAATTAAAAACGACGTCAAAAGTAATGGATTATGAGAAAGGAACATGTGTGTCTTCAATAATGGATGTGAACGTTTTCTTTGTAGAGCTCTAAATGCGACGGTGAACACAATTATCTCACACGAAATTTCAATTCCTTTTTTATCAACGTTAGCTAGGTTAATTATCCAAACGTAAAACCATCTATTATCAACATAATCACACTTAATGTTCCCGAAGTTATCATTATGTTTGAATATGGTCTTCCGTATTATGCAAATGATATAAGTGCGTGTATTACATGAATAATAAAAAACCTTTGTAAACAACGAAACTTACTGCTACTACATCGGATACTATCCCTAACATATCAGGGTAGCAAATTTGCAACAGAAAATAAGCTACAGGAACAACCAATCACAGACCTACCTGTTCACTTAGACCTTCATCAGCCATGGTCTCAAAAGAAAGGGCAACACAAGGTCTTCCAATCTTCCGCATGGACTGGGGGGGTGGAACGTCTCCGGCCTTAGCAACCACCTTCCACCCATACAGGAGGCTTTATACGAGAAGTAACGCGGGCAGGTCATATCTGATGGTAGCTGCCTTACGACTATCGGATGCTTGCACAAATAATAATAATGCAAATCAATATTAGTCTCTCTCAGAGAGCCCAATGGACTTAGAGGAAGAAGCAGACATTCTCCAGCAGCTGTGTATTGTAATTGTTTTCATAAATAAAGTAATTCTGTAATGTTAAGTATGCAAGATAAATAAATTTGATTCAGACAGTGAACAAGTAAAACAATTATATGGCCTTGATTGTGCAAAGCTTGGTTTTTTATATTTTCTACATTTTTGTCAACCTGTAGATTATCCCCCAACACTAAAAAGGTAAACATGATATACTTTTTTTTCTGCCTGCAATCTGATCTTCAAAACCCAATAGGCTTCTACGACGTCGCCTCTTAGGCTATTATTTAATCCAGCTGTAATTCTCGTACGCCACTGTACTGCTGGTTCATTATTCGACGATAAACTTGGCGTAGCCGATTCAGTAGCTGCTCTCGTCCTCCAAAAAAATCTATTAATTTAGGGATATGCAGCTTTTTGTGGGCGCAACACCTTCTTCGGAAACGCCGACACCGTCATTCATCATTAGATTTTTTTGAGGCTTCCGAAGCCGTTGACAACTTCTTCAACACACCTCCAATTATTTCCGTATTAGAGTGGAACAATACGGCCATTGATGACATGGCAACTATACAGGTATATATGTGCTGCTTTTAGGTAATCATTTCCTTGAAAGTAACAGTATTTTTGTACATTTAATCCTCTTTTATCAACTACAGACGAAAATGCACGTGTGCCTTTTAAAGTCCTATAACGTTTTGATGTTATATGGGCAAATTTTCAAAAAAAGCTCCATGTACTCGAATCTGTGATCTGCAGTAGGATCACGACTCTCGATCTCCATAGAAACGGGTCAAGTTAGTCGACAATCGCTATAGTCGAATTAACGACTTTATAAAATTTGTTTGACAGGCTCCCAGCTATCAAATTCAGTTTTTTGCTGTTTGATAGATTATGTATTTATTATTTATCACCTTTAAAAGAGAAAGTTGTTTATTTTTGCTATAAGTACAGTCCTTTTAATTGTACGGGCAATAATATTAAATATATAAAGAAGGCAGGAGAATATCTGAGGACACAAGAAAATCCTATCGACTTGCATTAGAGGAGATTTTGAAAACTATTTCGTTTTAGTTGAGGAATTAATTACTTTGGTAAGACCACATATCCCAGAAAGAGAAAATGTAAGTATTCTCCAATTCTATGCCACAGGCTCGTATCAAACGTGTATTGAGGAAGAATATAAGCTTGTTAAGGCACAGTACAGTAGTACGTAAGTATGTTCATTTCATAACAGACATAATAGATGCCCATGTTGTCCCAGATCCATATTTTTCCCAATAATATCTACCAATATTTCCCCATTGTTTGGGTGTTGCTCTAGACATTTTTAGCCAGTACTACAATAATATAAAATAATAATTGAACAAATAATTAAGCCAAAATGTATTTCGAATCTAGCCTATTTGCCTTTTACTGGAACCTTTGACCACGCAGTCTGTTTTTAATTTTCGGGAACGTAAAGAAGTCGTTAGTACTTAGATCGGGACTATATGGAGGATGGTCAAATAATTCCACGTTTTCTTCCGTTAAATACTTCCTTGTTTCTTGGGCTGTGTGCGAGCTTGCATTGTCTTGGTGGAGGATGATTCCTTCTTTCGGAGTTGATTTTTCGAAGCTCGGTGATGACTTTTGGTAAACAAATGGTGGTATACCAATCCGCAGTAACAGTTCTTTGCTCATAAAGAGGAATTGTTGCAATATGACCCGCTTTTGACACAAATGTCGCGACCATCTTTTCCGAAACACTTCGAGAACGGATGACTTTTGTTGGCTTCTTTCACCCAAACAGCCGACTGTCGTTTATTTTCTGGTTTATAACAGTAAATCTACGATTCATCACCAATAACAATGCTGTACACATCTTTTGAGTTTCCGGAATTGAAACGGTCAAGCGTTTTTTGACACCAATTAACCCTGGCTGCTTTCTGCTCTTCAGTCAACAGGTGGGGTATCCCACGAGAAACTAATTTTCTTACTCCTAATTCTTCATGTAAAATTTTTTGAATTGACGTATTTGAGATCTTCATGGACGCCTCAATCTCGCGATATGTCACATGTCTATCTTCGATGATGAGTTTACGCACAGCATCGACGTTTTCCTGAGTGTCTGCCGTTTTTGGTGCACCCATCCTGGAATTGTCGCTAAGACTCACCCGTCCACGTTTGAATTCTCCGTACCAACGGGAAATTGTCGACTGACAGTAACTCAGCAAGGCATTCTTGTTGCGATAATTGTCTCTGAAAGTTGTAATAGATTATCGCGCGAAAATGTTCTCGGTTGAGTTCTATTTTTCTAATGACTTGGTGACACTTAAAAATTCACTGTAGTAAGAACACTGCACGTATTGTTGTGAAAATTTGAATTTAAGTTTACTAAAGAGTGAGGTTAAGATTCAAAAGTGACGTTCGATCCGCGCGGCCTACTATGTTTCTATATGCAAAACTTAAAAGACATCCCACGTATGTATATAGAAAATGATGAATTGTTCACTCTTCGAAATTAGAAGACGGCTGAACATCTACTCATTATTTCACACCTAAGCTCTGCCCTAGTGTTGTTTCCGTACCTGATTTTATTTATACTAAACAAATCGTATGCGCGGGTAGTAGCCGTAGGTACATCGTTCCGCGTTGGAGACTACCTTGTGGATACTGCGACCTGCAGCCTCGTTTTGCAGGATGGTAGTGTTGTTAGAGTCGCAGCCATAAACGTTATGTGAAATATTTGTGATATTATGGCTAACGGAGTAATGCTACTGAGATATACGTATAATGTAATACTCAAAAGAACTCTCTCTTTTCGAAATTCTCGATTGCAATATTACCTCACCAGTTGACGAGGGTGAAATGTTCAACTTGCCGGTCTGACTATAATTTAGATATATAGATAGATATTCATCTCGTAAGTTCAAGTACAAGGTGCATATCATGAAAAACCTGCAAGGTAACAAAGGTCGCGGCTATGCAAAAACGATCACAGAAAAAAAACGCGGAGGAGCACACATGCATACTCAAATTGTTCACTTATGGTTAAAAACAATCCTTAGTGATGTACAGATCTAAATGTGAGAAAGTCTGTTTTGATATCGATAGGCAGAATCTTGGTGCCCTGTAGTCATTAGATGATCTAGTCTGGTAGCTGTGTAAGAGTTTGTGTGTCTGTGTAATGATGGAACACATTATTTCGAAATCTTTAAAGTGGTCTCTGCAAGAATCGTAATATCCTAAACCAATTATGGTTCTATAATGGCTTTGTTTTGAATAATGGATTGTTTATTTATCTTACTAAATTTACCCCATAATGTTATACCATAGCTAAGCTGTGTATAACATTATATTAACTATGTATATTATAAAAAAGGTAAGGGGCCTAGATTGAACCTTTTACTTTATTACCTTGAACCAACTGAACTAGCTCACTATCAAGGTTCACAATGCTTTCAAACTAACATTCTGCTGTCCTGAGCTGCCCTGTATGTTGGCAGAACACAATCCGTTTCCCATGTACTAATTCAGGGGAGGATTCTGAGGTTG